GCCCCCAGCTCGCTCTCTGGGAGGCTCTTGGTATCCTTGTGAGGGCGGCGTGGGCGGGGCTGAATCCTGGGCGCTACGCTTCTTCCCGATTGCCCCCTCGGCGGGTGAGGTGCGCCCCTCCCCCGGTGGTTCGCGGGCGCGTCTCTGCTGCCGTGCCTCGGGGGGTTGGGTCCTCCCTGCGGCGCGGGGTCCCTCCGGGCTTCGTGGTAGTCAGAGTCCCTCCAGCTGTCTTGGAAATGGCGTCCTCTCGCGTCCCCCCGATCGCCCTGCGCCCTGAAACGCTCCTGGGAGACGCCCGCCGGGCGGGGGCTCCTCTGCCGGTTGAAGTCGGGGTCAAAGTCGGGGTCGACGTCTCTGCGATCGCCAAACTGTTCCCACCGCAGCCCCCCCCCCACGCCGTGATCATGCTCCACGACGAGCGGCGCCGAGCGCCGGGCGCCGCCTCCGAGCTCGTCCCTGGGGGGGTCCACCGAGTAACGCGGTTCCCCAAAGTCCTCCTCATCCCTGTACCTGTGGCAGCATAAGAGGAGGCGACACGGTTCAGCCGTTATTCATCTGCTTTCTATGGTCACACATCAAACACCTGAGCTACGCGCTTATCGCTACGGTAACCGTCAACTGTTTTTAACACATGCAGCTTTTCTACAGAATCAGAAGGTGTTAAAGCAGGAAGAGTTTAAGCCATGCAGACTAGTTAGACCAGGAAGGAAATAAGATGAGTTTTGCGCTATGGGGGAAATCAGAAAGATGAGAATCCTCGTTATTCTTGGTTTCCTTTTTCGACTGTGCTGCTTGAAATTTACCCAAGGTGAGCGGCGTCGTCCATTTCCCCCCTTTGCCTTTTAAAGGGGGGGTTCCTCTCCTGATGGGAATCCTCTCTTCGCCGGTCTCTGTTCGGACCCTGTGCGGGCCTCCTTCCTCTCTCCCTACCTGCTCCCCCTCGTTGGTCGTCCATCCTCACAACGGGACTGAGGTCCCTGAACCTCCCTTGACCTCTGCCCTGCTCCCCTTTCCTCCAGCCGCCCCCCGTCTCCCTCTGCTGGTGGTCCGAGTGACAGCGCGGCGTTGCCGGCAGCGTCTCCCTCGCCAGCCTCAGCGGCGACTGAGACAACGTGGCCCTGTTTTCATATCTCTGGAAGAGCTCTCTGAAGCCTCCTCTGCGCCTCTCTCCTCCTCCTCCTCCATCCTGCAGAGGGGAATGCCTTCGCTCTTCATCGAAGCTCGCCACACTGTGATGTGGCGACAGCCTGCGGCGGTAAAACTCTTCCGGGCTCGGGAGGCGCTGATGCCCAAACTGCCGGTCCTCTGGGAAATGAGGGCTCCTCCTCTGGGCTTCGTGGTGCATGTCGTCCCTGAAGGAGGTCCAGTGCTCTTCGGGCTCTTCTCGGGAGCGGCGGCTCCTCTCCGGCGGACTCCCGTCCAGTTCTGCGCCGACTTTTGGAGGATTAAAGTTTGGTTCGTCCCACGGGAACCTCCTGAAAAAGGTAAATGAATAAACGTCACAACCTCAGACATAAAATCGACATTCACACATCACATCATTCATTCAAGTACACAAAAGGTACACGTAATTATATGCAACTATACTGAACAGTGCTATTTTAATTACATATTTAAATTGGATCATTCTGTTCACTGCATAGCATTAGTTTGAGCCTTTTTTCTCAGTAAAGGATGAATATTTATCCCTTGGGAGAACTCGGGGCCTGGCGTATGGATAGGAGAGGATGGCGGTCGGTACCTGTATCGTGGAGAGCCGGACCGTGGTCTTGACATTTGACGACCTTTAAAGAAAAGGACAGTTTTTTCTCTGAAGATTAAAGCTGCTGCCACAACAAGCATTTGTCTGAAAAAGAATTAGACAGTCTAGTTTCTGCCAGAAGAGACGAACAACCGAAGAGCTTCTTGTTACAAGCTTGTGGATTTATTTACTCAGCAGCTGAAACGTGATTTAGGAAACAATAGAACCTACGAATTAACCAAAGTAAGTCAACTTCGGTTCACAATTCAACAAATATTTTCTGAGTGAGCTTTTATCTTACATAGAAGTTTTCATGTAGCCGAATGCATCAAACATGGAAACCCGTTCACACGAAAACAAACCCGGTTTCCCTCAATTTAAGATTAACATCTTGTTACGACATTTGAACCATGAAGCGAACATCCTTAAAACTGACACCTTGATCTTAGTAGGATTTAGCTGTTTCTAGCTTCACATTAGCATGTTCATAATCAGATGTTACTTTTGGTCGCAGTAATAATGAATCTTAACTTGATTAAAATTGCCGTGAATCGTTAAATTAAAAGATAAATGATGATTTTGACAAACATCTCCTTCCTCAACTTAGCCTTTAGCTTCGTAGCACACAGGATAACGTTAGCCACAAGCTATTGCTAGCTACTGGCCGTGACATACCACCTAGTGGCTGATCAACGTTATAAAACTAGCTATGTGTTGTCAACTGGCAGCTAACGTTCCGTAAGTTAGCTAACGTGAGTTAGTGACTTTACCTCGGTCGTCGTTACGCGCCAGTCACCGCGGCTAACGTAAAGCTAAAGCAAGGACACACAAATAAAACAAGCGATACAACGGTTGGAATAAATCCGCTATTTGTAACTAACGTTAACGTTGTGTTTAACCCCACGTTAGCCCAATGGGTTGTTTTTCAATTGAAGTCCCCAAGAAACATGGCTGTAGGTGATCATCACAAAACTGGGTTCGTTGCTTCCGGCATGGTGTTTTCAGAATAAAACTTAAATTGTGTAAATCCACAGTCCGGCGCGCACAAATCGCAAAACATCACGCTATAAAATGGGAAGAAATGTCAAAATAAATAATTATACTATATTGACATAATCTCCTATGTTGTAACTGTTCAGTATCAATTACAAATTACGGTACTCAAATTATTTTGAAAATATTTTGAAAATCATTTGCTGCCCAGCTATTGGCTAAGAATTAACGACCACATCTTCTTCTGTGGTTCATAATGAAATGGTGCATTTGTGGTGTAATTAAAGTACACATTAGCTTTTAGTAGTTTGCGTGTCGTGGCACATTTAAATTCAAACATTGAATGAACCTGCAGTTGTGTTCAGATAACACTTCGCATGTGTAAGGTTCTAAAATGTATAACATTAGAAGTTCTATTACTTTATTTTGATCGCTAGTCAATAATTGCCACCTATTTTTACTTTGAAAGCTGAAAGGCTAAATAAACAGTTGCATTCTGTTCCTACTCGTACGCAAATACAATGACCCTCCAAATATCTTCAGATCAATAACGTGAAGGAAGTAAAAAGACAAACAATGATTTTTGCAGTTCAGTTTTAATTTCAGTGCAGCATAAAGTCGACACACAGTGAGATATAATGATAAATAAAAGTGGCTGCATTAAGCTCTACACTACATTTGTCATTTCATAAGTCCCTCATTATGAATGTCAAAGATGAAACATCTTATACATTTTTGACTCTTTTCTCGTCCCCTCGAACCCAAGGTGTCAGTTTGCCATTTCTTATTAATCCGTCTCAGCGACGGCTGGATGAAGTTTATTGTTCTTCTTCAGCAGTTATCCATGCACCACATCTACAATGATATATTCCACCAAGCTGCAGTGACACAGAGTTCTATAATATCGCATAAACATTGTGTCCTTTATTTTTAACTTCATATACAAGCACCCGGGGAATGATGAGCTTCAGCCCAATGTGGAGGAATAGCGAGCTGGGGGGAAAAGCACAGAAGAATGTGCCGAAGGTTGCCGCGGTGATGAGGGAACATTGTCCCCGTGACTGAGGACGCCGAGGTTGCGTCATCTGGAAGGTTTATTCAAATGAAGAAGTATATTCTGTGTGTGTTTCTATTTTTAAGGCTTATCCAAATGTTTAGGACAGTGACATGAATTAAATGTTAAAAGCACTAAAGGAGCGTAATAGTCCGGACGACACACGTGGGACCACGATGCCATCCGACGGCTTTTAAAGGCCGACGTCTGACAATTTCCAGCAAAAATCAAACAAACAATAAAAAATGATTTAGAACATTAAAAGTAAACCCCAATAAAATAAAATGATCCTTAAATAGTCAGAAATGTAGTTTTCTTTGTGGCTGATTATGAACACTGAAGGAATGAAATATTCTCCAGCAGAAAGGAGCGAGAGACTCGTCTTTCATGCTTTTGCCCCGCGGTGGGGTATTTGTTCTTCCTGTTGCCCGTCAGAGGGGTATGTTTCAGCTGTGGGGGGCGTGGGGGGGGTTTGGGAGCAGTGACACACACGATGAAGCTGCAGCTAGCGTGGTTACAGTCAGATACACAACACACCCTGTCAACATTTACCCCCACCGGCAGGAAGCAACACAAAGCCAAGCCACCAGATGAGAGCTCATGGGGGGGGTCGTAGGTCGTTGATGGTCGTCGGGGGCGACGGTAAATCTACAGCAGCTTTTTAGTTTGTTTTTGTCAGGAGAACACGCTACGAGCACCAACCGGACGCTACGTCGCTCTTTATTCTGCCCCCCAAACATGAGCTGCTGCAGACTCCTCCACCCGCACAGGGCTATTTACAGAGGCCGACAAAAAGCAGGGATGAGATACTTTGAGTTATAGGTTGAGGCGCTGCAGACGGACGAATCCAGCTTCGCCAGGAAGAGGAAGAAGGAGGAAGAGGAGAAGCTCCTTCACGTGACGCTGAAACATTTCTATCTTTTTAACACGAATATTCAAATGATCTGGTAACTTGCATCAGACTACAATGTAGGGAGATACTGTAGAATGTGAATATATACTCAAGGATTTTAGCATATTTCCACAGAATGACGCAGAGATCAAACAAAGAAAAAAGACTAAATAAGCACAAGCACAATTTACTAAGTCAACGCTGAACCTGAACTCTACTACAACGACCTCCTCCTCTGTACTTTTGTCTAATCTGAGTCGGGGGGGAGGGGGGGGGTGTCGTCCGTCTGCCTCCATGTGGCCACAAGCCGAGCTGTTGTGTCGTCTGCTGATGCGGACGTGAAGCTGTCGCTCTGCGTCGGTTCCGCGGGTGAAATGTGGATCGTGGTGCTGCAGGCGACAGAGTAGAGAACCGATCGAGCTTCAGTTTGTATTTACAACTCACTGAAACTAAAAAATACAATACAGTAAGGGACAATATGATTAGATACAAGCGCTGTGAATCACCAGCATAACATCAAATACTATATATATTTATACGTGTATACACGTTTACAGCAGAGGGTCTCTACTTGCCTACTGGACGTCCAGCTTGCTCGGCCCGACGCTGTGGATGAGCTGGGAGGACTCGGAGGCCACGCTGTAGGCTTGGATCAGAAGGTTCTTGTTGAGGTCCCCCACCCCGCTGCCGGCTTGCAGTTTGGGGTAGGCGGGGGTCTCCCCCCGGCCGTGGGCCTCCAGGTCCATGAGGTGCTCCAAGGTGCAGCCTTCAGGCCCCTCGGCGAGCGGGGAGAACTCGTGGGCGCTGGGCTGCTCGTCCCTGGACACTGGACTGATGGAGACAGATGGAGAACTTAAAGACACAATGGTGACAGAGACAGGACGTCTTATTAATTCAGAGTCGTTTCATTGGTTTCTTCATGAGGAGATGTGAGATGGAGGAGCTCCACGTTTTTATCCTTCTTACGTCTCTGAAACCAAACAAACAACCTTCAGTTCTGCCGAGTCCGACCAATACTGAAGAGTACTAGAAGTTGCGTCTGTGCAGTGCCCAGCAGGGGGCGACTCTTCTGCTCCCATAGACGTCTATGAGGAAAATGACTCTACTTTCTCTGTAGTGACCAGCAGGGGGCGACTCCTCTGCTCCCATAGACGTCTATGAGGAAATGACTCTACTTCTCTGTAGTGACCAGCAGGGGGCGACTCCTCTGCTCCCATAGACGTCTATGAGGAAATGACTCTACTTCTCTGTAGTGACCAGCAGGGGGCGACTCCTCTGCTCCCATAGACGTCTATGAGGAAATGACTCTACTTCTCTGTAGTGACCAGCAGGGGGCGACTCCTCTGCTCCCATAGACGTCTATGAGGAAATGACTCTACTTCTCTGTAGTGACCAGCAGGGGGCGACCCCTCTGCTCCCATAGACGTCTATGAGGAAATGACTCTACTTCTCTGTAGTGACCAGCAGGGGGCGACTCCTCTGCTCCCATAGACGTCTATGAGGAAATGACTCTACTTCTCTGTAGTGACCAGCAGGGGGCGACTCCTCTGCTCCCATAGACGTCTATGAGGAAATGACTCTACTTCTCTGTAGTGACCAGCAGGGGGCGACTCCTCTGCTCCCATAGACGTCTATGAGGAAATGACTCTACTTCTCTGTAGTGACCAGCAGGGGGCGACTCCTCTGCTCCCATAGACGTCTATGAGGAAATGACTCTACTTCTCTGTAGTGACCAGCAGGGGGCGACTCCTCTGCTCCCATAGACGTCTATGAGGAAATGACTCTACTTCTCTGTAGTGACCAGCAGGGGGCGACTCCTCTGCTGCCATAGACGTCTATGAGGAAATGACTCTACTTCTCTGTAGTGACCAGCAGGGGGCGACTCCTCTGCTCCCATAGACGTCTATGAGGAAATGACTCTACTTCTCTCTTGATTTATTCCCTCAGTAAACGTTGTAAACATGAGTTTATGGTCTCAAACTCACAGTACAGTACAGGAGGCTTTAAGGCGGGGCTTCACAATGATTGACAGGTCTCTACCACAAAGGTATACAGCGTCAGCTGAGACACCACCAGGGACAAAAGCGGAGACAAACAAAGACGCTCACCTGACGTCCATGGACTGTACTCCGTCAGACAGCTCGTCCACAAAGCTCTTATTCTCCAGGGGTCCCAGCAGGATGACGGGGGCCTCGGCCGGAGTGGGGGGGGCGTCGTCCTCCAACAGGGCCGCGGCTGCAGACACACAGCGGATATTAATGATGATGAAGACGGCGTTTAAAATCAAAATTAGAATAGAAATATAAGAGCAATAAGTGAAAAGCAATGACTGATACGATGACCTTAATTATTGTGTTTGTCTGTAATTTATTATATAATGTAATAATACAAGTTATTTATTTTATCTCCTTCAATGTTCATATAATTAAATAGTCTACATTGGATTAGAGTAATATTTTACAATAATACTAGTTTTATATCTGTGATTGTACATGAATATAAATTTAAAATAAATGTGTTCTGGATATTAATTAAATATTTTACATATGAAAATGTTAGGTGAAATGTAGTAGAGTAATATAGCAAAACATGATACATTGTATAGACATTAACACAGCATGAAATATACAATATATCCCAAACAATAGTAGAAATAAATGTAAAACTATTTTTTTTAATACTGAAATTTCTTTGCAGTGATGACATTTTTAAATAGTCCCTATACACACGCTTTAAATGGATCTGTATAATTATCCATCCATAAACTCATTTTAGTGACCAAACTGTCCTTAAATAATTATGTTTTATACTCCCTGAAGATGTTCCGAAGCCTTCACATTACGTCAGTAAGAGAAGCTTCACCTGCAGCACCAGACAGCGGCTCCGCTTCGCTCTTCCTCGTCCTCTTCATGATCTCCTCGATCCTCTGTGCAGAAAAAAGGAGGTCAAAGGTCAAGAGGTCCAATCAACCCCCATAAGCCCTCAAGTGAAGAAGACCTCGGTACCTTCTTCCTCTGCAGCCTCTCCTGCTCCTCCTGGATGTGCAGCAGCTCCCTCTCCTTCCTCTTCCTCTCCGCCTCCCTCTGGGCTCTCAGCACGGCCTCCTCCCTCTGAAACACAAACACCACCCGCTGAGCCACAGCTACACCACCTTCCCTCTGAAACAACAAACACCACCCGCTGAGCCACAGCCACACCACCTTCC